TCAATGGAGTTGCAAGGTGACTTACAGCTCGATTTACTAATTTTTAACGACTACATTTTGGACACAAGCTCCTAATAGACTCGCATTATTTATGGGAAGAAAGTTAACTTCAGTCCTTATATTAGGGCTGCAAGTGAATGTAAGTACTTGAACTCAACACCATAAAGGACACGAAATTTTGATGTAAAATACAAAAACTATGTTAAAGTTGACTAAAATGGATTATCCTGTCTCATACTACCACTTGGCAGAAATCCATGCTATTTAAACTTGATTTATGAGCTGTGTATCTTCATGTTGTGTTCCGACTTCAGCCTGCTGAATTTCATTCTTAAATTTTGGTGTCATCCTACTCAACTTTGTAGTATATGCCCTGCTGCTGTAACAGCATCAATGTCTTGATAACTCAGCAAAACTGCATATATCTACATATTAAAAAGAGTGTTACCTAGGATGTGTTCAGAGCCACCCTTAATTTTCGAACATTTAAGGTGGATCTCAACCATACCATCAGAATTTTTTTAAACTTTGCCAAAAGTTGCCTCTTAGTATGCTTATTAAAAGTTGATAATATGAAAAAAATTCACTGCGCAGTCTTTGAATTATAAGCCCCTAAAGCTGTAATTAATGGTGTTTTTAGGAGGTCATAATATTGCTATGAAAATGATAACAACGAGTTCACAAATGATTGGGCAGTTTTGTGATACCATGATTGTAGAATCAAGTGATCAAGAGAGGCTATAACTACCCATCAAGATCATAACTATAACTACCCATCAAGTGTTGGAAACTGTTTTGAGCCACCTTAAATGGAGACAAATGTTCAGTTAATAAGCTTCTTCTACAGACAGTGCCACAAGTGCATGCATAGGCATACGGGCACCCTCAGGCTTAGGGGAGCAGTGACCTTCTTGCCCGAAAAAAATTATGCAATGCCCTAATGTATGAGTGGTGAAATCGGGATGCAAACCCACTCAGATTGCATAAAAACAAAAACTTTTACAGTTTTCACATCTAAGAAAACTGCTATAATCCCCAAAATAGTTGTATTGAAACCTTGCGTTCTCAAAAAGTTCTTCCTTTCATGGCGTTCGTACAGCGATCGGCAGATCAGCAACAAAGACAATTGTGTTTCAGGATGGACCATTTGGACGTGTTACAGAAACTGGACTCTGATCTATTCGAGACGAGCTTCTCGATATACTTGAGACGTTAAAAGAACAACATGAGGCATTGAAAGACGTCTTAGTCTAGTTTTGGCCTCAGGAGACTTGCAGCGTACACTACAAGTCTGGCCTTCTTTGAATTCAGAAGCAGCGTAAATACGATGGCGAACAACATGGACATAAAAGAGGAACACCTGATAAGAAAAATTTAATATAATAAAAATTAAAACACCCCTTTGTTAAGACATTACAAACTGCGGGCCGTCTCAGAGCAACCGCAAGAACAAAAGTCTTGATCTTCGTTCGCTTTGATTTTTTTTATAGCTAACAGAAAACTCAAGGTCCCTCATGTCATTTCAGTCTT